GATGAATTTTGATTGGATAACCCAACGTCGCGTGACTTTGATGAATTTTGATTGGATAACCCAACGTCGCGTGACTTTGATGAATTTTGCTTGGATAACCCAACTCCAGTTTCGAAATCTCTGTTGCTGAATGTTAGCCTCGATTTTGAGTGTAGAATATTCATGGCTTTCAGTGAATTTTAAAGTGTTTGTTTTGTTGAAGTTGTGCATGCTTTACTTTACTTTATGTATTTGTAAATATTCTATCACTGAAATTAGGAAAACCCCGAGAACATAAGTCTGTAAGTAAGTAACACAGTAGTATTTTGCAGATTCGAAAAAGGCTTATTCTGAAGACCAAAGTGACTGAACAACACCAAGACGCTTTTGGTGCATTGTTGGTCAAATAACAAAATACCTTGGTATCTCATCTCGATTTGTCTTTCGTTCAACTTATCGTCTAAGACGTTTACTCCTGGCATTCTACACGTGACTGCCATCTCCGCAGCCATTTTAGTGAGTTCTTGAGAGCTGCCTGCTCCTTTGAAGCTCTCATCGGTTGCCTTGGAAACTGTTTTGGATCGTTTCATTGGTCGAGCGTATGGTGAGCTCGGATCAAGAAGAAATCTGACAAAATAAGAAACGTTTGAAATCTTCGAAACATAAACTTCCTAACCTTTATGAATGCTGCGGTCGTCACGCAACGTTTCCCTTTCAACGTTTCCCTCCCTAAGAACGGCTGCAAAGGAGGCTAGGTATTTGCCAGCTGCGCGCTGAAATTAGATTTTTCGTTGCCGTCAATCAAAAATAATCAGTCAGTAACTTTTACATTCTTGACTGGCGGCAGTGATAAAACAATTTCACAACAAGTTATTAATATGTCTGAGTTCACAGAATATGGAAAACCACAGTAATACTATCACAATGCCCTAATACACAGACAAGCAATCTACGGTTCGTTAACCCTTCCCATATTTTTATCTGAGATATTTACCCTGTTTTCTCCAAAGCATCTTCCATATAATATTCTTGAACAGGAAATGTCCGTCCTTAAACAGGAAAAAAAAAAGAAGAAAAATATAACGAGACACTACACCCATAAAATAAATTTTGGAATATTGGTATGGGAAAGCTGGGTATGAAATGGAAGGCAGACAAAATTTGTTTGAATGTGTATAGACACTGTACCTGGAATGTGAATAACGGGGGCGTCGTAGAAATACGCGGAGAAGAGCTTGGAGTTGAGTGTAGCACTCATGAGAACAACACGGAGGTCACGCCTGTCCATGAGTAGGTCACGCAACACCATCATTAAGAAGTCACTGAAGGCAAACAATATATATAAAGATATTATCAATTAAAGTTTCAATTCAGCAAAGGAGGTGTGCTAACACTTCAAATTGTACAAATTGTACGATTTCGCGCGTGTGGTTGAGAAGCACTTTAAACTTATACCTCTCCTCTGTTCGCTCGTGTACTTCGTCTACTATCACGTGACTGATTCCTTTCAAGGTGGAGTCATTTTCAAGATACCGCAACAAGATTCCTGTAGTACAGTACAACAGTCTCGTGGAAGAAGACTGAAACACAACACAAGCAAATTGAGTTAGTCAAAACAGATAATTTTATCAAAATGTACAGTACTCACATTCCGAGGGTTTTACCGGCCCTCCGGTTTTTCCTCCCTTCTCTCAAATCAACCCTAACTAATTAAACTGGTTAGAGCTGTACTCAGGGGTCATGCGTGGACTGTAGAGCCAAAGGCGCCTTCAGATACTTTCATTTTTCATAAACTCCATCAGCACTTGTGGTCAGGGGTGTCCCTGATCTAGATCTGTCCCTTGGCGCATTTTTCTCTCAAAGCTCATTATAACTATATTTTTGCTTTATTTAGGATGCAATGCGCAATTTTTTTTTCTGAATTGAAAACGCTGAAAATATATGCCCGATGGCAGAACTCATTATTTATTTTTTGTTGTAGGTGAAGAGGAATCTTTTGAAGGGATTGTTCCTCTCACATTATTGGGAACTGATATCTATCAATACCTGTTTACTCTCAAGTCTTATCTTGTATCCAACCATATCACCCAGCTTATCTGCTCTTTCCGTTGCTACTCTCTCTGCTACAGACAAAGCAGAAATTCGTCGGGGTTGTGTGCAGATGATATTGCAGTCTGAACCTCGACCTGACTTGAGGTGTACGTCAAGTATGAACTGAGGAATCTGTGTGGTCTTGCCACACCTTAGAGGAAAAAATAGAGGGTCAATAGAGTGGCTTTATGATAGTAAAGTTCATGGACAGAAACAATGCAATGTGATTGCATGACAAGGGGTTTCATTTTCCAAACAAGGAAACAACCATGCCCCTCAACATGTCTGTCATAAAACCACTTTTTATACAGTACATCAAAGCTTGACTGTTCTTTCATGTATGACATACCCTGTCATTCCACTGATTACCAATACTTGGTGATTTTGTAAACTCTTGATGATGTCTTCTTTGGAATTCCAGGCAGGCAGCTTCATACGATTTTCAAGCATTGTTTTATAAGCAGATGAACTCTGAAACAACATGGAAAACTCAGTTAAAATGGGCCACAGGACACAGTAATAAACTGCATGAGGAGGCAAATATTAAAATATTTAACTTTAACACTTTATGGCAGGCCCAAGATTTTTCAACAGAGTTCAAGTACATACTGAATGAAAATAGATACTGTAAGCTTAAAGGTCCTGATACTTATAAGTTGACATAGGGGTTCAATGGTAGCCATAAGATTTGAGGGAGGAAAACCAGAAAACTGCTTATCAATATATCTGCTGCTTTCTCTATGACATGGCTGATATGAAGCCCTTTTATAGAGCTTATCAACTTCAGCATAACTTTACCTGTTGTTTTTCAAACTGATGCTTGAGCTTCCTATTCAAATTCTCCTTTTCTTTCCCTTCAATTTCTTTCTTAGAATCTTTTTTCTTAAACTCCTGTACTGGTTCTTTATCATCTAAGTCCATGACTACATCTTCTAGAATATTACTTTCTACTGTAGCTTTATTTCTTTCCGGCTTACTGAACTCAGGGAGAGGCATCTTGACACACTGTAACATCTCTTCCCTGTCCTCAAGGATGCTCAATAGAGAAAACACAATAGGAACTGTGGACTCACTTAGCGTCTTTGCTTCAGCACTCAGTCTTAGTGTTATATTGAGTGAAACATGAGGAGGTATGACCTCACTGGTATTGTAAAATGCTACTAAAGGTGGTTCAAAGGGATAAAGGGATCCTTCTGGAAACCTAACTTCAAGGTAAAATAATACTTCTTTTTCTTGTACTATCAAATGCTTGTCTTCAGGTAATTCTTCAGATTCTATATCAACATGCCTCATTTTACATTTTAGGCCAAATCTACAATTTCCTTTGAGGAAAAATTTACAGACATTCTTGGGTGAAGTTTTATTCTTCTTTGGTTTCTTCTGTTCTCTTCTTGGAACTTCTTTTGAAGGTTCAAATTCTTTCTCCAAAAATTGCATATCAGGGATTTTTAAAGTCCACAGTCTATCAGGAATTGCCTCAGAAAATATTTCTTCATATATTGATTTTAAAGCTATGACTTCTTCACTACGCTGTTGTTTAGCTTCTTCAAAAGTTTGAGGATCATACTCTGGATTATTTAAGCCTATATTTTCAATTTCACAGCAAGAACGAAGTAGATTTTCAAGTGCTACCCCTAAATCATGTTTAAATTTTGCCAGATAATTCAAACATCTGTTTTTCTCAAAGCCACACTGAATTAACTTTTTCAATGCAAAAGGGTTTACTTCATCACCACTAACATCTTTATCATCATCCTTTTCTGTAAATGCTATGACGTCTTGTATCTGAAGTCTCTTGTCAACAATCTTACCCCAGTATCTTTCATCTCTTCGTATATCTTCAAACTCAAAATGATCAGCACTTGATTCTACTTGAAGATCTTGTAGCATTTCTTGAACCATTTCTTTATTTTCATCAGTCATATGGAGGTTCTGAATAGGTGCTTTGGATCTCATTTTTCCAGATGGTAAAACCTCCTTTTTTCTCGATGAATATGCCATTGTTTACACTTAGTAAATCCAAATATTAATTAATTGGCTTGCTTTTTATGGACTTTGTATGAACTATAAGCTAGTTCCTTTTTAACTACAGCATACTGTACATGTATGTCTTGCTCTTCTGCTGTAATTGGTAGATATATATCATAGCTTCTGGTCAGTCCGGTCTTCTTGTCGAAGTCCTCTTTTGCTTCTAGGTCTACAATCTAAAGATATTTCCACTAACTGGGGCCACTGAAATTTCCGAAACTTCAGGATCAAAAACTTCACATGTAACATAAGCCACTGGCCAGTAGAGATTTCCTCAAGTCTCAATCATACAGTACATGTAGATACATGTATGTTAGTACCTTCATTCAAAATCATAAATGATTATCRTAAATGTTCAAAAAATAAATCATCATGAAAATCGATGCCAAAGATACAAATGACGTCTTTAAGAATTTCCTATCGTTTTAGCAGAGTTGATTGCAAATATATGATATTCAAAGAGTTTTATGGCCGAGTAAATTTATATCGGACGTGTCTCTCGTAAAATACGAAAATCAGCAGGCGTTCCTCGACATGGCTGCTCATGCGTTAATACCATCAACCGCTGGTCAGGAAGTCCAAAATAGAAACTGACAAAATCAAACTAAAAAAGTGAAGGAAAAAACTGCAAGAAAGAAAGGGAAATTACTCCACAAATGAAAGGATCCCGGGCCTCTAAGATCCATAGATGAGTGAGCATGATCTTGGGGGAGTATTTTTAGCCGTGTATAAGTGGTTATTGGGATGTGTTAGTTGGCTGTATTGTGGTTTATTCTTAGTGTTTGGTACTTTCGTCTGGCATAAGTTTTCTGGTAGACGACTTAGACAACGTCCAAATCGTGAAATGGCGAGTAAAGCTTCTTCTAAGACGCCAGCAAAGGCGGATGAAAGTCTCCAGAATCTTCCATCACCTGTTAGAGATGTTAGGGTTCATCATAACAATGCGTATGCTTGTATTGCTAAGGCATTGGAAGTTGATGAAAATAAAGGTAAGTCTTAAATGTATTGCCACATCAGCAGAATTTGAAGATGTGCTTATTCTAGTCTTTTTAAATGTTAATCCTATTAATATTGGGCTACAAGGTTCTGTCTTTGCAGATTAATAAGATTGATAAGCCATTGTATGAGTGAAAATTAAATTGGTGCTTCAGGGGTCGACGAGCCTCCTAACAAGTGGTGGGGGGCTAAGATTGAAAAATATGAGACTACATGTAGYATGGGAAAACATGGGGGGCTGTAGCCCACCCTACCCTACCCCTTCCGTGGACCCCTGTGCTTGCTACAGGATATTTTATATGCCTTTCAACTATACCCTCTGAAACATTCCCTAAATTCAAATTGAACTGCATTCTTTACAGGCTCTACGCTACAGACCAAAAAGAGAGTTGTGGATTTATATAGAAGAGGAATAAAGGAACTTGAAGATGCACTTGCCATTGACTTAACTGGGAAAGGTAACTTGATGTGGAACAACTTAAAAAGTGGGGTGGGGGGGGCTAAGATTGAGACTAGCATGGGAAAAAGTGGGGGAGTTATAGCCCCACTGCCCCAACCTTTTAGCAGCCCATGCAGAATGTTGAATGAAAATAAGTGCACCTTCAGATGTAGACATTATAAACTCCACAACCTACTGTAAGTATCTATCATATATTTTTTGACGTTTAGTTTCAATAATGTTTTAATTTAGGAGAGGATTGGGATAAAGCTAGAAGGCTACAGGACAAGATGGAGACTACACATGAAAGTGCGCGTGATAGAATGGATGAATTAGGTAAGTTACACAATTGTAATTATATAACATGTACAATGTTAATAAAATTATTTTACTATTCTGCAAAATCAAGGTCTAATGTGTTTGATTCCTGGACTCCACCTACAGTAATATTTGAGTAAAGTTTGTTGAAGATTTCTCCAGGTTCTCTGTTTTTCCTCTCTCCTAAAAATCTAGCATTGCTAAACCGGACGTTTAATTAACAGATCAAAAACAGTTTTCCGTGTTTGATACTCTGATCAAAACACGCGGGATGTTGGGAGAACACGAGAGGAGCGTAGGAAACCACGACACGTAGCGGAGTGGTTTCCAACTTCTCGAGTGTTCCCCTAACATCCCAAGTGTTTTGATCAGAGTATCAAACACAGAAAACTGTTTTTGATTTGTTTTATAAAATAACAAACGCGCGAAAAGATCGAAAAAAAGCAAAGTCTAAGTAAATTCTCCCTACGTGCCGTCTTATTCAAACTGACCAATGAGCGCGCGCGATAGATTAAGAATGACGATAGTGTGTTTTGATACTCTCATCAAACATGGTTTTCGACCAATCATAGCGCGCTTAGCATCCCAATTATTTTATAATTTATTATCAGGGGTGGCAGAGCACATTTTAGTTGGGGGTGGGGTGGGGGAGATGAAATAAAATTGTGGGGGAAGAGGCTAGAACTCAAACTAAGACAAAACCCCAGCTACTGTATGCCACCCTGATTCTGTGAGTTAATTAGCCGTGGTTTTCTGACTTTGATCAGCCCAAAGGTTATTTCAGGGTTCAATGGTTGATTTTAACTTAATGAATGGTTTTTCTTAAAGTACTGTATTTTTTTCTTTGTCTAGTGGCACACTTGCTCTCGGCAGACATGATGGATGACCCAAGCCCATCAACTAGAAGACCACAAACTGCACCTTCCAGTGTGAAAACCACAGTTATTAAGAAAACAAGAAGAAACAAGGCAGTGAATCCTAACAGTAACAATGATAATTCCAATGCAAGAAGCTCATCTTCGGGGACTTCAATAACATCATCTTCTTCTAACAGTTCTGAGTTATCTTCAACTTCAAATGCAAGAATTAGAACTACTGCAGGTGGGCCAGCAGCACAAAGAAAGTACAACTCCCAGGTGAGGATATATAGTACTGTTTAATAAACGAGCAGGAGTGTTTTATCGGGTATAAAACACGAGGCGTAGCCGAGTGGTTTTAGACCCAATAAAACACGATCTGCGAGTTTATTAAATGGCTTAAAAAACTCCTGATGTATGTTCTCATACTGTACCGAATTCTTTACGAAAT